CGTTTTTTTTTTTCGGGGGGGGGGGGGTTTTGGGTTTTGGGTTTTTTTTTTTCGCTATAGGGCGCGGGCTCTCGCCAGAAAGACAGAGAGAGACAGAAAGACAGAAAGCGAGAAATCACTCCCCAGGGGGGATGGCCACGCCGCAATCCCTTCTCCTCCATTCTCCTCTCGGGATCTTGGGCATGCATGCACACGCGCCCGGCGTGAGTTCAAGCCACCGGGTCCAGGACTTGAACCGTGGTCAACTACGTGGGAGTCCAGCGACATAGCCATTACGCCAACTTCTGGTCCCCCACTCTCTCTCGAAAGAAAGAGTATGTGATACACTTTGTAAATGTCAGGTCTGTTCTGTTTTGTGGTCTGAAAACTTCTGAAATTGTTTATAGTCAAAGAAAAGGCTGGTGGTCAGATGAAGCAAAATCCCAGTTGGTAACTCAGTTACTTCAGGAAGATAGCTTCCAGTCTGCCTTGTGCCCAGTTGAGTCAGGAGCGTTGGAAGAAGTCGGGAACTGTTACAAAATGCAAGGAAGGGCAGGCGCCTCTCACGGACAAGTGTATCAGAGAGCGGGAGCTGGGGCCCACGCTGGCCTTGCCTGCTGGCCTTGCCTGCCCGCCTTCATTTCAAGGACCGTGTCTTGCATCTTGTCCAGAGGTGGGCTCTGAGGAGGCGGTGAGGCCCTGCTCTGTTTGCTCAGCTGTGGTGTGAGGTTCCCTAAGGGGATCCCCTCGCTGTGCTGACCGTGCCATCAGCATCAGAAAGGTCAACATCCCCGGGCCTGTCCAGTGTTAACAGAGACAAGGAGCTGGTGCTCTCTCCGCCCAGCTGTACCATCCAGCGCAGTCTCTTGGCCAAGTTCACCGGGTGTTCCAGGGAACCCATTGCGTTGAGGCCGCCGAGCCGGGATGTATTGCGTTGTTGTTTTGGTTGGTTTGTTGTCGGTTTTTTTCCCAGTGGACAAGTCTGTCTGGTCCTTTCCTCCTAGAGCTCATAGATTTTAGCCGAGGCTGAAATGGCCAAGTCCAGGAATGTCTCCAGACCGAGACAGCCCAGGGCCTGCGTCCCCACAGGACCCACACAGTGGCTCGAACTAGCCTGCTCTGCCCCCGCCTGCACCCCGCTCCTGTCCACTCCCGCCAGGGCCACCCCGGGAAGCAGACCTCTCGCGAGTCACCTCACGTCGGGCTGCAGGATGAGAGCGTGTCGCCTGCTCGGGCTGTCTGTCGTGATTGCAGAAAGGATGGGAAATGGAACCTACAGGCTCAGTCCTCCGTGAAGACAACGGCAGGAATGATCCCAAGTGAGCAGAACTGGGGAGCCCAAGGGATGGTGCTCAAGGGGAAGGAGGGCTTGGCCACGGCCTTTGCGCCTCTTGGCGCCTGATGCAGGGTTTGGAGCACGGTTGCCCTTACCCGCAATTCAGTGCGCTCCCGGATTTAGGAGCTCTGCAGCCCGAGTGCGTGGCCGCCTTTCCCAATTTTTGTGTCTGAAACAACCCTGCTTGGTATTGCATGGAAGGGCCAGCTGTTCTTGCTGGCTCAGGGCTCCCCCGGCCTGCACCACCCTGTGTCCCGCAGCACTCCTGAGAAAGACCGCAGAGCTCCCGGAGCTAAGAGCGTGGTTTCGCCCCGAGAAGGAGGAAGGAAACCGAGGCGCCCTGTTCCCTTTTTTAAGGCAGGTGTCCTCAGGCCTCCTTCACGCCTCCTTCCCATGGGTGCAGCCGCAGTGCAGTTGGTGTGGAGGCGGGCTAAGGAGAAGGGGGCACCAGTCCAGCCCAGGGTTAGCTCGTGGCAGGTACGCAGACGCGACCCCAGCCTTCCCCTTTCAGAGCACGCCAGCCGTCTGTAACCCTCCTTTACTGAAGTGTCCCCTGTAGTCAGCTCTGTGCCGCCCCCAAGCCCTGCCACCCCCACCCCACTCCCTTTTGTACAGATGCCTAACCTGTGAGCGTGCCATTCCTTTCCGCGTGTTGGTCCGTTTCCTTCCATCGGAGCTGTGGGAGGGAGGGCTCTGGGATTGTAGGCTGTAATCTTGTGCCAACCAATAAAAACCAGTATTTCACACACACCCCGATAGTGTCTGTTCTCTTCTTTCCAGAGGTTTCCCTGGGGGCCTTCATATCAATTCTTGTCATTTTGTCCTCCTCTGCTAGGTTCTTGGGAATTACCCCAGAGGTCGGGCTGGACTCGTGGAAGATTTGGCGTTGGGGGGATTAGAGCGAGGAATGTGGTGGAGAAGCCAGCGGCAGAACCACCATTTCGTTTCCTCTCACCAGCTCTGTTACAGGGCGCCCAGGAAGAGCCCTGGCAGGCTGCCAGCGCCCAGCACCGAAGAGAGGGCCTGCCCCAAGGCTGGGGGGGCCTCAGGAGGGCCACAGAGGCAGGAAGGGGGCGAGGTGTGCCACATCCAGGCTGAGGGGACAGGGCGAGTGGTTACTTTCCTGTGGGGGCTGCAGGCGGGAGAGGCCGGAGAAGGGTCTTGGTAGGACTGGCACGTGGAGGCAGCAGGCAGGCGTCCCCGGGGAGAGGGTCGCTGAAGGGACTGTATCCCGAGCCCCGAGATAGCTATAATGAAGTGCGAGGGGGGCCAAACTAAGGGAAACCACAAAAGCCAGGCTGAGGGCTTCACTGCGTGCAGGCGACGTCTTAAGAGGGCAGTCATGTGATGTCAGCCATGTCTAGGCGAGTCGGCGGGGTCACTTATAGAGGAGCAGTGTGGAAGGCGTGATAGCGGACAAGGCTGTGCAGACTCGAGGGGTGGGCCTGGGGATGAGGACGGGGACGTGGAAGCACAGAGCAGCTCCGTCTCACAGTCAGAGGGACTTGCTCGTCCGAGAGGCTGGCTTCTCTAGGATGACTGGCAGGGTCACTACTGGCCAAGTTCTGTAAGCCAAGAGACCTGACATGATCTGTGGAAGAGGGACACTTCCAGAAAGACTCACAGGACCTGCCTCACAGGAGACTCACGTTCGTGCCCACATTACGGTCGGCCCACTTGTGTGGTGGTCGGCATCAGCCCAGGTTACCTGGCCAGTGTGCTGGCTGTCTGTGGGGTGCAGGCTGGTTACTGGGGCAGTAATGGTCTGTGGGCTTTACTCCACCACGAGACGAGTTCCCCACCAGCTGGCACCCTTCTCCCTAAAATTTGAATTCTGCAGGCCTCCTTTGTCCATCCTGAGGTCACCCCTCCTTCCTCCATCGAAGGTTTTTTTTACCACATGTAGGGTTCATGATGAGGCAAGAGCTTACAGATGCTGGTACAAGTGGCAGACCCAGGAGGCCACCAACTGGCCACCTCTAGGTGGGATCTGAGTGTTCTGAAAGCTCGCGTCAGATCATTATGGGGGTCAGATCATCGTACCGGGGGTACACCACTGTCAATGTTTACTCCATGTTTGTCATTCTCCATTCTCAGGGTAAATACAAAGTTTGGGATTCTCTTTCTACCCCGTCCTTCAACAGCCTGCAGTTCTTGTAGCGCGAAAGAGAAATCCGAAGAGCCCCCCCCAGAACTTAAGGCAGTGGTGATGAGAGGAAACCATCCCAGAGGACACCAGTGTAGCTCCGAATACTGCTGGAGCCCACACTGCCCCCACCCTTGGTCGCCATGCCAGGTGGTGGCACTGCCCATCCAAGCCAGTAGAGTTGGCAGTCCCTGCGCATCCACTGTGGACATCATTGTGCCCAAGAAAACCTGATAAAGGCCACGGTCTTGCTTTCTGGTTTCAGACGGATTTTGCGGGGCGAAGTTGAGTTTATCTTTTTGGTATTATGATACCCAGCTAATGTCTCCGTGTCTGAGGAAACAGC